TTGCCATCAAACTAACTCAAGGCTTTATTGGTATTTGTGGATATTTACAGGTCTTCATCCGGAAGAGTACACTTCCACTTTCTGACGATCACACAGAAGCCCGATGTATGGTCGACAGTACAACTCCTACACCCTTACACCACACTGGGCTTATGGTATACCTTCCCCAAAAGCATAGCACTTGACGTGTCTCCATATGAGCCACACGTAGTCTAAACTCCTGGTATCCCCCTTGGTACCCCTGTAGCAGTTCCCTATATACTCCCTTAGATAACACCCCTTATTACCCTCTGTGGAGTTTAGATTATGGCTCATATCACTATTATGCAATTGCAACGTCAGAGGGGACCAGAGAAAATGCAGAATCATTATGCCGTAGCAGCCCCCTTGCTGTCCAACACCGGGCTGGAACGGACCAGCGTGTTGTTTGGTGCTACCCATGTCCACGCAGGCGTTGAAATATCTTCTGGAGGAAGTGCAGTTGTCGCACCCGACCTGATGACATTCCCATTCTTCCCGACCCATTCCTTGGTCTCTCGATACTTGGTTTGGGCTGTATGTCTTGCACATTTGTGCACCGAACAAGAAAAAGCAAAATGTACAGAACCCCCCTAAGCAGAAACAGCCTTGGCTCTGTAAATTGACCGCCTCTGTGCACGGAAAGGGCATGCTGCAACAGTTGGACTCGCGGAACCTCCACCTCCTCTTCGCAGAGCTGATCAGAACCTATACGGGACTTACAGAGCAGAACGCATTCCCAAAAGTTATAGCCCCCTTAGGTAGATAGAATATGGCTTTGGGTGCATGATAACAAGATGCCCATATACCCCATATTCTTTCTACTTAAGGGGGGTCATAACCCTAAACCCTAAATAGTAGTTTCCATTTTCTTTTCCATTATCCCTATATAACCCCATATTCTATCTACTTAAGGGGGATTATAGCAGGAAGCATCCTCAAGAGCCAAGCATCATCCTCCTAGAGGTTACGGGTTTCCAAAGAAGAAAACTTTCGAACCGAGCCTGTGGCTGTGCATGCCAGGCAGGCGCCGACAATTGCAGCCACCCAGAGGGGCGCAATGTATGAAGGTATGGACATGTTTCAGTAACAATTGCTGAAGCCTAACAGCAGGCATGCAAACTCAGAGATTTGGAGGGGCAAGGGCCAAGGCAATGCTCGTTCTGAGGGTCTTCCAACTGCAGGTTCTACATCATGCTGCACAAACTCAAGTTGCTAACCGCTGACCGGCATGCAGCAAGAAGCGTGGCTGGCTGAGAAATGCTATGTCACGCTGGAACCACGGATGACATATTCCCAGCTCTCAAGCATGCACGCAACCTGCTTGCGCAAGTTCATGACGTGCTCCGTGGCCCGGATTGCGATGATATGAGCCCGCTCCTGGCATAAATGCTAACCAAGTGGCAGAAACACTATACCCAACAGTGGCGACCCCTCAGCCGCATGACAAAGGAATCAGTATGTACGATCCTGCTGGTACCTTCAGAAGAAAGAGTGAACATGTGGATTAGGCGACAGGGGGAGATGAGAAAAGTGCCTGAAGGAGTGAGTGCAATAACGTGAGGTGAGGCTCCTGAATTCAAAAACTGATCTCTTCAGCCGGATAACTTACAACTAATAAAAGCCGCCCTGATAAAGTATACTCCAATTAGGCATGAGTATGCCATATCGTAGAAATGACCTCGTAGAAATAACCATCATAAGAAGGAGGAGGGGGGATTGATGGCAAGAGGGATGGGAGTAATCTAGGTTCCGCAGTAACCCCTTCATAACACAGGGCACCCATTTCCGAATGTTCAGCTTTAATAAGACCCTCAAGTAAAAATGGAAAAGGTGTACTGGGGCACCTAACCTATAATCCCATGGAGCCCTGAACAGTAGCTTTCGTTTTCTTATTTTCCATTACTACTATCTTTGATCCCTAAACTCCCAAACCCTAAAACCCTAAATCCCTAAACCTTAAACCCCTAAATCCTAAAGCCCTAAACCCTAAAATCCTCCCATAATCCAACCAGGCCAGCCAGCCTCGAAGTACATTGGCGCAGATGCCTCAGGGTCATCAGAAACCAAGTGTGGGTTTAGGGTTTAGTGCATCTAGTATGCAGAAATGGTGCCTCGACACACCCAGGGGTGTGGGGGGGGCTGCACATCTTGCGACGGCACAGCCAACAATTGGTGTATTGGCTGATTTCTTCACAGCCCCTGCTTACGCAGGCATCCGCCCAACTTTATTGTTTTCGGGTTTCGGGCTGACACGCTCAATTCCCGCTTTTCTTACATGAAATGTGGCCCCCCCCCCTTCAGAAGGAGCCTGGCAGGGGGCCCCCAGCGCCCCAGCCCGAACCCAGAAGCACAAGGTGGATTGGTTAGTAACGCCAAGCGATGGTGTGAGTGGCTGTCGGGTGTAGTTCTGGGTCCAAGCACCCAGAATGGGTGGGAATTCAGGGTTAACGTTGGGTACTGCCCCCACCCAGTGGGGGCAGTATCCAAGGTCAACGGGTTTAGTGGGAGGGCTGAGATGAAGGTTGTCCAAAAGGTCCTCGTAAAACTTGGGAATACACTTTCCTAAAGAAGGATCCTAACCAAAAAGGGAACCTACCTTGTGGCCACTTTGGGGACGGGTATTTTGAACAACTCCCGAACCCTAAACCCTAAACCCTAAACCCTAAACTAAACCCTAAACCCTGAACCTCCCATGACATACATCTTCAACAACTTTGGGGCCTAGAAAGGGCGTATGGGGGACTGTTCGTGCCTGCAAAAGCACATGCCGAGGCGGTCGACTTTTGTCGCATTGCTTACTGGGAATTCGTAGGGAATATAAGTAAGGGAGTATAATCCTTATGTAACCCCTTTTATAAAATAGGGTTTAAGGTCTATAGGGTTAAGAGCTTAGGGTTAGTAGGGAATAAGGGAATATAATCGGCATAATATATTCCCTTATTCCCAACTAACCCCCAGCTACGCTGGGCAGATGAAGCGCCCAACCGAAAGAAAAAAAAAAAGGTGCCCCCACTGCCAAAAAGCAACGTCAGAGACTTCCAAACTCCACAGCTACTAAACTCTATAACCTTCAGGCCAGAGAGAGGGGCCACGGTTTCTTGGGCATAAAGGGTATAGGGTTTAGGGTTGAAGTTGCTCTAAAGTGTGCATATCAGTAGATAATAGCGTTTCCTGTTTATAGTTTCTGACTGAAATACAATTTTTGAACATGGAACCTCGTAGCATATATACTATCTTGTTTCGTTTTCCACTGGGCTGCAAGTGTCAATCATTGGCACGTGTAACCGTTTCAAAACGAAGGCACCGTTTGTAGCCCAAACTTGTTGTAAATGGAGCCTGGGACCCACAAGAAAGGAATGGGACTTCATTGGAGAAAAGCGCAACCGAACCAGAGCTCAAGCAGCCCGAAATTCTTTCACTTGTTCGGGAAATTCGAAAGTTTTAAGGTTGGGGGGGGGGTAGGGTTTAGAGTTAAACTGCTGGTTTTCTCTTGCATGCCGCAGGGTGAGTCGTGGCAGAACGTCGGACTCGCACTACGTCTTCAAAGGATTGTTTCTGAAAAGCTGTGGACTGAATTGCTTTCAGTTACTATAACAGGCAAACCCTATTCTTAAGTATATAACCGTATTATCCTAAACCTTAAACCTCAAGTTCCTTGACAGCAACCCACATTGAGCGCACGACCCCCAAACCTGAGGGTGCTGCCGGGAAGTGTGTCATCCAAAACTTGCACGACTCTGCATCCTCTACGCTAAAAGATCACTGGGTTGCTCTTCGTAAACTAATATGGGTGTGCAGGGTATAGGGTTTAGGGTGTAAGGTGCCAGAATTATGGGCATGTAGTAAATAAGTTTCCGTATACTAACAAAAAATTAAGTTCCTTAGCAACAATGGAAGGCTTCGGTCACAACTTAATGTCAAAATCGAATGCAGCTTCCAGGGTCACCATGACATGGATTCTTTGTGGCTTGCCGGTTTTGCAAAATTAGGGGTCGTTATATGGGGGCCCCAACACCACGCATCTTAGGGTCTATCTTAAGGTGCCTGTATTTGGGGAAGGTGACATGTGGCGCAAGACTCAGGCTGCATGATATATTTTCCTTACTGGTGCTTAGTAGGGAATATGGGAATAAATCATATAGGGATTATATAAGGAGTCTATTCGCCTATACGTTACTAAAATCAATAAGATTCCTGCAGGAGCCTGAGTACTTAGAATGGTTTGCGGGTATACTGTGCTTAGTATTAAATTATTGAGGGAGAATGCTCATGACTAGTTGGGCTTCCACAGGGAGGTCCTGGGTCTGGATGACATGGCTTGCTACCTGCATGCTGCAGTGGCCCAACCACATCGCTAACCAGCCCCCTTCGCCATAGAGCCTCATAGCTTATTTACGGCGAAGGCTGCTAAGAAACGGCGGACTTCAATTCAAATTTTCCCCTGACGTTGTCATTCCACAAGAGTGATTGTGCAGCAAATTATCAAAGAATGTTGTAAGACAACACCACCTGAGTAAACGGTTCAACAACTTCCGAGGACCAAGCCACTTTGCCCGTGAACGCGGGGACCAACTAACACCAATGTATATTCCAAACATAATATCACTAGGTTACCACCGAATGACAAACGCGCGTTGGCCCGGATGTAAGTCCTTTCAAAAATCACCGAGGAGACGTTTGATTGTAAGGTGTTCAATGATATTCCATCTGGCTCAAAATGGCGGTCCTCGAATCCTTTCAGGCCCTTCTTAGTGTCCAGGTCAGAAATTAAACCCCGCAACCACTGTTACCCACAAAAGCCCAAGCTTTCATTGGAGGGACGTTTTGTTATAGGACGAAGAAAATTCCGCGCTGAGTGCATCGCCGTGCAAAACGCGGCCCTTCGACTGAAGTCTTAAACAACCAGAACTTGAACCCCAATTTTTGCCCAAACCTGAAAACGTGTGCAACCCTAATCAATGACACCCTCGTATGTTGTCCTTGTAATTCTTTCTTCGCCAGTACGCCCAGTACACTCTCAACGCTTCCCTGGGATGTGACCACAACATCCACGCCACGTGCACCTGCAAGGAACACGCATGACTTCGGCCTCAAAGTTAACAGAGACCCATCAACTCGGGGTCACTTTTTTTTTCTGTATGGGTTGTTCTCAAAATTATGGATCCCTTTTGGTTATAGATTAACTTACGACACCTTGGGATCTTCAAGGCGGCTTGGGCTCAGGGATTCTGGGTCTACATATGAGCTACAATCAATATGTCCTACCCAATTTAATGGACATGGGTTCCTTATTAGGGACTATATTGGGGACTATACTATAAACCACAAGAGGACCTTAATGTCCACTGTTAAGGGCCCCTTAGTACGGCTAATATTGACAGTAACTCATATGACATAGCCCAAACTGGCCAGCAGAAGCTTAATCCTGCTCGCATTTTTCAACGTTGTTTCAACGAAGGGCCGCTTGAATCGTGTGTTCAGCTGGGTAATGTTGAAATATGATGTAGGAAAGTGCAAACATATGCTAACGACGACATGAAGCCCATCCAATCGCCACATTACGTTACGCCTAGATTGACCCCTACAACTCAATGGACGGAGAGAATGAAATGTGTTCCATAAGCTCCAAATCTACTTCCAACGACAAAATACCCTTCCTACATCCTGCTCTGCTCAACTCACATTGACTGCAATTCAACCCTTGAAGGCACAGGCCCCATCGCCTGATCTATGTACACTTCGCGCCCAACTGACTTTCGGGGGCGCTTGTCGACCATCCCCGCCTGCAAACGAGGGCTTCGGGTTTGGGGTATCTCACGGGCGAGAACAAGATGACATGAAAAACGCGGCGGGTTGGGGCAAATGAAAGGCGTGGAACCATGTTTGAAGTTTGAAGCGATCTGGGTTTTACAATTTCGTAGGCGCTCAGCTTTTAGCACGGTGGCTGTGGAATCGGCAGCTCCACACGTAGGCTCTTAGGGCCCGTTTTGAAGAACGATGTCATTTTCCACCTCATGATAATGCACGAAAATCTGTAGCGCATGGCTTGCGGCTGCGGGGTTCCTTCCCAATTTCCTGCCTGCATGATCGGGATCATCTCGCAATGAGTAATTCCCTCAAGCTGGCGGCTCGGTGTCAGCCTGCATGCCCAGCAACATACACAAGCAGGTGCCGAATAGAACAAATTCTGATCAGCTGGTAGGGCTCGGCACGCATCAGTTCACGCAACAATTGCATGTCCACTTCATGTGTCATGATCTGGGAACCCGCTTCGTATGTGGCTCAGCCCGAACACAGTAAGACAACCTTGTATAATCGGTCCCCCAAAACCACAAAATACTCCAAAACTCTCTGCCGGGCTGGCGTGGGATTGGTACTGGTCTTACTTGGTACAGCTTAGAACTGTATTGGTGGCACTGTGCAAAGGAAATAATGATGGTATTAGTATTAGAAGTGGTCGTGGTAAACGTCGTGGTGGTGGTGGTGGTGGTGCTGCTGCTGCTACTGGTGCTGCTGCTGCTACTGGTGCTGCTGGTGCTGGTGCTGGTGCTGGTGATGGTGCTGCTG